AAGATCTGCCATATAAAACAAGGCTTTTTAGCCCTTCTGAATTTCAATATATTCCATTTTTATAAGACCTTGTTAAAAGAACTAACATAACCAGTACAGTGCGATAAGCTAACGAAGGAAAAAGAAAAAATATATCTGCTACTAGAAACTGGTCATTAAGAAAAATCAAATAGGAAAATAGGCTAATGTCCTTGTTTTGGCATAAGAAGTGGAAGATCAAGCGTCAAAATTCATTACATTTATATAAAAGGGCGAAAAACGAAGGTTAATATGGGAATGATGATCGAAAACTATTCTCGATTCGGGTTAAATCGAGAATAAAATCATCACAGCTCTTTTGGGATACGTCCATTTTGGCCCATTGGAAACGTTTCGTCAAGAGGGATTATTAATGAAGGGGAAAGAAGGATAACAGCGGATGAATCGCACGATTTCGACACCAAGATGAAACGGGAAAGAACGCATCCGGAAATCACCGCTACCTTATGGCGAAATCTGTTTTAGGTATGGTAATTAGCAGGATTCAATGCCTAATACAATGTCATATTAAACTCTTTTTCTCCACTGAATGAAATCTACGAAAGACATCTTTAGTTATAATCTGACGCATGACAAAAGCAGACAGATTTAGAGTGTTGTTACCAATCTCACTTGTTTGAAAGGCCAGAACAAGTCCACGACATTCATCGTGGCAAATGCGCTTGTTGCTGGCAAGACCTCTGAACGACATATACATGACAGCCCAACTTTAGCTCAGTTCCGCCCACAATTTTTGAGAGAGAGCACCCCGAGGGGGACGGGTCTGAGAGTCTCCTACTCCTCTTTCTCTAGCATTATCCTCTCAAGAGGACTTTCAGCTTCCCGCATATTTAGTGTGTCCCCATGCCGCACAGACACAATACATTTACAAACATTCATGCTTTTTCCGGGATTCAAACCAAGCCCCTTCGATACGGCAGTGAAAGTCATTAACCATTGTCTCGGTTATGCGGCATAAACTTAGAATTAGACGTTAATTAACGACAATTTATTAATTTCTGAGAGGGCTAAAGAATAATACTTTCTCGACGGACATTCTAAAAGAAGTTGGCTTATATTATAATTTCCACTAGCATATTGGGCACTAGCAACGTAAACTGCATGAAATTATTTGTTTGCTCTTCTAGGTCTTATATCTGCGATAAAAATACAATCTTGCACGGCTTCATTTTCGCGACTACCAAAAGGCAGTGCATAGGCAATAAAAAAACTATTATTAGATGATTTTGCAAGAGAAAAAACAATACACACACTGTTTTTCCTGTTGCAAAATCATCTAATAATAGTTTACATATATATATAAAGCTGGTATATCATTATATATATATATATATATAATGATGTACCAGCTTTTGTCCGGAATAAATAGATTGGTGAAGAAACATAGATGTAGTCATAGCTTAAATTATCAGATGATAAGTTTAAAAAACAGGATCCATTTATTATTGGTCAGGAGAAATAGCAGTTACAAAATCATATTTCCGGAGAGTAAATAAAAAAGAATACTAATAACTTTTTGTATGAAGTTTACTGCATCGTTACATTAAAGAAAAGACCCCGATATTCCTTTGCGAGTCCTTTTATAGCCTCTGGAAAGGCGGGACGCTTCCAAAGAAATGACCGTCAGCCTCGTCAGCCATTCCAGTTCGCTTTAAATATTTCCAGAACATTCTATAACTGTACATGTAGAAAAGGCGGGAAAAACAACTTGACTACGGGGCTGTGGATTTAATTCCACGTACTTTCAAATAAGAACGTCGCCATTAAAAAAATGAAAAGAACATACAGTTAGAATTTTAAGTGTATTCTTGACTATGGAATTTTATTATGACATATATATATATATTTCGCTTAATCTTTCGTTCTTTCATCATAAGTGCCAAATACCTGGTGTACATTTAATTAAATTGTGAATACGTGTTTAATTCAGATGATAATATTAAACGTTGCTTAACATCTCTTATAACTACGTATGGGATAAGGCTTCCAAGCAGTATAGTCTCCTAATTTTGACTTGCAGCTTTTTTTTTTTTTAGGTCCAAGATATGAACGTTATGTTAGTATACCTTTAAACAGCGTAATTCTTTCGAAACATTCTGAAGTAATAATGCTTGAGAATAATCATCTTAACGTCACTAAGAATGATTTTCTGAAATCCCATACTAGTTTGCCCCCCCCTCAGAGATGTTAAAAATTGTAAGTGACTAGGACGGAAGATGTACATGCACAACATGCATATGTTATAAAAGGAAATGAACTCCTATAATTGTTATTCGACTTCTGTTAGCACTAAAAAGGGATGCATTAGAGTGGGGGGAAAAAAATCGACTAGAATTGCATTTTCAGGTATTTATTATTAATCGTAATGGACTGGATTATTTGAGTATGGGGTTGTTTGGATAAAGGAAGGGCTGTCTTTATGTGGAACTTTCTAAAGAACACTTTCATCCTTTACGTTCCGTACGCGGAAGACTATGAGAATACTTATGCATCTAAAACACTTGCCAGTTCGGATGATTCGAACGACCAATTGTGCATGTAAAATATATATATATATATATTTTAAGTTTATATTTACTCAAAAACAATGCCAGTAAGAAATTTTGAAATCAGTGTAAAAAAAAGTTCGGTATTTGAAGGTCTCCATAACATAAGAAAAGTTCAATTTGCCGCCCAACTAGGTTAGAGACTGACTGCCGTACTGAACGTCCCGGGTCCGAACCGCAGAGACGGCATGGATCTTTGTAAATAGTTTCTGTGTAACATGGGGACACTCTAAATATGCGGCGGGCAGAAATTCTTTTCGAAAGGTTGCTGGTAAGGGAAGAGGAATAACAGACCATCGGATCCGTTCCCCCCCCCAGGGTGCTTTCCATCAAAACTGGGGCGGAATTGAGCAAAGTCGTGCTGTCACCTGTATGGTGCTTAAGGCACTTGCCAACAACAGATGCAATCTTGCACTCCTTGCCCTCTATGAATTTCGTTGGCTTGTGCCGATGTTACTGTCAGACAAGTGAGATAAGCCACAACAACAAAGTTAAATTTTGTTGCTTATGAACTGTAAGCAAATATTTTTTAGTAAGGTGATAACAAACTTTATACCGCTCAAACGGATAGTGGTTAGCGACGCTGACTGCCGTACCGAAGAGCCCGGGTTCGAATTCCGAAGAAGGCATGGATGTTTATAAATGTGTGTGCGTGTGTGATTATGGCAAAGCCTCGAGGGCTATCTGCCTAAGGGTAGGGATGCCTTCGTGGAGGACTTTCTAAGGGAACTGGCTCGTATACACGTTACAAATGGGGAAAACCACGTAAACACCCATGCAGCCACCCCGTTCGCGGGATTCGAACCTCGGACCGAACTACCAGTGTTCAACGACTTTGCCGCTCGGCCGCTGGAGTGTTTCTAAATGTATACTGTCTGTGCGGCATGGGGGCACTCTATATATGCGATGAGCCGAAAGTTTTTATATTTCATTTTAACGAATTTTTAACAAACTCAATGATTTGAAAGGGAGCAGTGGTAACACTTTACAGATTAAAACATTGTTATCTCTGGTGCGCTAGCCTGCATATGGGAAATTCCGAAGGTATGTATTTTTTAAATATTTGCTGATTTTGCTATTCAACTGAATTTATTGTGGCTAAGTGCGAAAAACATGATATTTAATTAATAAATTTAACACACAAAACGTTAATAATAAAAAGACAAAAGAAAAAAAAAGGTTTTGCTAGCCATTTTTCTAAGAAAACTGTATATTAATATGATGAACTGAGACAAGCTTGAAAAATATACGCCACACTTCTGACTTCATCGAGAATTCTAAATATACGCTACTATGCCGCTTTTAAAATTTTCGTAATTTTTCGGTTGAATTTTAACGGCGTAAGTGAGAAGAAAATTATGCTTAATAATAAAGCTAAAAAGACAAAAAATAAATCCGTAAGCATGAGTGAGTGCAACAGCAAACTGGTTGACTGCGAACTCAGCGAGAGCGCAGAACAACTTTAACAAACCTTTTCGGGCAGCCGTTAAAATCTGAGCCCCTTTCAGATCTTTCTTTTTTTTTTTTTTTTTTTTGTTTGTTTGTTTTCCCTTTCCACCCACGTATTAAGGGTTTTAGTTCTTTTAAAATGGTATACAAGTGTGCGCAATTGGTACTTATAAATATATAGTTGCTGCTCATGAATACTTGAATTTTACCTGCGGCTCCTAATGAGTTGAAATTTGCTCAATGATTTGAAATTTAACAAACTCAATGATTTGAAAGGGAGCAGTGGTAACACTTTACAGATTAAAACATTGTTATCTCTGGTGCGCTAGCCTGCAAATGGAATTCTTATTTCTTTCTACATTACTTCTAAAACTTCTCAGAATTGCTAACCAGAGACCGAGCTGTAAAGCAGAAGCTGAACACGTTAGTTCGACTTTGGCTCGCTTTCAGGCGAACGGGCTGGCTGAGTGGACGTTTTCGTGTTTTTCTGTGCGTGTAACGTGGATACGAGCCAGTTTTGTTTAGAAAGTCCGTCATGAAGGCATCTCTAGCCCTTAGGCAGATAACCCTAGAATACTTTGCCAATAAACCAAACCAATAATACCTCTCAAAATTGCGAATAAATTCTCTAGACCAGAGATCCATCGGTATAGCTATTTCAGTTTTCAGAGATACCTTAGTATTTGTCAGCGAATATATTCTTCCAATCAGTACGTGTTTGTGCCCATTATTAACGGCCAGGAGGGTTGCAAGCACACTCGTATCTTACATGACATATTACATAACGTGTTTGAAACTTCGTCTTCCGTTTCAAACAAGGAAACGCCACCGTGTGCGCCAAAAGTGTGAAATTAAGCGATAAATAGTCATTGTGAAACTCAACTTCTCTTCCCTATCAGTGTCATTGCAACCCTGCAATCGTCACTGCGAAAGGCGGAGCTTAGATATGACGCGAAATTTCATTCGGAGTTGTTTAATTGCTGTGAAAGTTGAGCGATTTGAGAGAGGTTTGCGGCCGTATACCGAAGCAAGTTGAACGCGCTAGTTTCGTTATTTTTTTCTGTGTGTAATTTACAAGTGACTGAATATGCTAACACTTTTCGCAGGTTTGAAAGGTCTTCTAAAACAACGTACTGTTTGCACCGATGGACCTATATTTCGACTTCATTCACGCTGGACCGTGTTAATTCTATTGAGTGGTAGCCTGCTTTTGACATGCCGCCAGTTGTTAGGTGAACCTATTCATTGTATACAGCGAGATGTATCTCGAATAAAAGCTGTAGAGAACTTCTGCTGGATTCATGCCACTTTTATACTACCACATGCGTGGAACTCATCAGTTGGAATTCAGGTACCTCATCCAGGTATTGATACTTATAAACCTGGGCAGAACAAAGTATACCATGGTTACTATCAATGGGTAGCTTTTGTGCTATTGCTTCAAGGTATATTTTTTTATTTGCCAAGGTATTTATGGAAGACATGGGAAAAGGGTCTGATGAAAGCTTTATCTTTGAATCTTCATGATCCTATGCTTCCTAGTGCTGAAAAAGAGAAAAGTTACAAGCTGTTAGTACAGGCCTTACATAGCCACTGGGGTCACTTTGAAGGCTATTTAAAAAAGTATATTTTTTGTGAATTACTTTCATTTATCAATGTTATTGGTCAGATGTGGCTTTTGGACATTTTCCTTGGTAATATCTTCACTACTTTTGGGATTAAAGTTGTGCAGTGGACTGAATGGGATCAAGAATATCGAACGGATCCTTTAGTAAAAGCTTTTCCTCGAATGACGAAGTGCCAATTCCATGATTTTGGATCATCAGGTGACATTCAGCGTGTCGATGCTCTTTGTTTACTGCCTCTGAATATACTTAATGAAAAAATTTTTGTTTTCTTATGGTTCTGGATGGTATTTATTTGCTGCCTTACACTTTTGGTTCTCGTATATCGTTTGATGCTGTCTGCTATGCCTATGCTACGATATTCCATTTTGGTGATTAGAGCACCTCAGGCGAGTAAAGGTGCACTAGATAGATTGATTGGGCCTTCAAAACTGAGTGACTGGTTTGTACTTTATTTACTGTCTAAGAATATTGAAGCATCTCATTATCGTACAGTTATAGCAAAGTTAGCAGCCGCTCTGGAACAAAATGGTTATATACCAAAGCCTTCTTCATCCAGGAATGAGAATGTAACATATGTTTAAGTTTGGAGAATGTCTGAATGTTTTTTGTGCACTATATTTCAGCTGTGGTACAGTAGAAAACAATTTTTTTTCTATACAAATTTGTGTATTTAGCCAGATGATTGCTGGTAAATATTAAATACTGAACAATTATGAAAAACACTGGAGTAATTAAATGTAGTTGTCATATTATTGTTCCTAAATTATCATTTTTTCTTTTTTTCATATGAGCTGAATATCTCGTACAGCCTCGTGATCTCACTTCATTTTAGATGTAATGTATTGATAATATTAGACAGTACTGCATAAAATGCCAATTTTTCCAAATAAATCATTTTTTACGTAATGTCATCATATGTCATACAGTTGTATGTCAGCTTATCTGAATGTTGTTAAGGGATGTCATTAAAATATTTTTTTACCCAAAACTGTGATACTTCGTCATGAAAGTATGATATATTTACTACACTTTTCTGTGTTGAGATATATCAGTTGACTTTTGGTAAATTTTATTCACTACATTAGTGTATTTGCTGAAGTAGTTTGTTTATGTTGTAAGGTATTTTGCCATGTTTATTGACAAAAACTTATTTTCTAATTAGTGCTGTATTAAACGTGTGCAATACTTTATATTCTACGTATTAAATTATTTATCTTTGTTTTTGTATTATGTTTGCTTGTAAAATATACTATTTTTTTACTTACATTGTATGTTTTCTAAGTATTTTATGTGTATTTCCTATGTGAAAATCGTACAAGTATTTAGACTTTGTTTATATATATGTTGCCAAGTTTTTTTTTTTTTAAACAGGTGTCATTTGTAATAAGTTTTTGTGCTGATAAATTGTGTTTTTCCATGCTAAGTAAAGGTTATTTGTAACTTTGACAAATGCATTTTTTGAAAATGGTTATTTAAATTAAGACTGCCAATCGGGGCTTTCTTATAACAACTATCTTTTTCCATAAAGGGGCCACCAATCCATAGGAAAAATGTAGTACTGGAAATGTAAAGATACTTCATAAATGAATAAAAAAAAAGGATATGTTGTAATAAAAAAAATTGGCCAGCTTTAATTAGAATAAATCTATTCTTGATTATTATCTATCAGTAATTTTGTTGTAATGTAATAGAGCTACATTTCAAATGTATATCTTTTACGATTAAATGAAGTGTTGTTTTCATGCATTATCATTTTAATCTATGCTTTAGTATAGTTCAAGATTATAATAAAGTTATGTTTGTAGTCTTATTCTGTTATCACAGAGATATTTGTTTAATATTTATGCATAGTGATAGTATAATAAGATTATTCAAAATTAATCATTGTTGTGCAATATATATGTCAGATATTTCAACTTTTCAGTACATAATCATAATGAACAAAAATGAAAACATAATAAAATTTTTTAAACAAATAGTTAAATAAATAATTTATTTGGTAAATTGTCAGATTTGCAAAAATATTATGTGTGTGTAATGCGTACCTGATAACGAGTACTTATCTGCTGTTTGTTATCAGAAATATCAATTTTCACCATGGGAATATTGTGTTTAATAGTTCATTTGTAATCAATAATATTAAATATTTTACTTGCTGTTTTAAATTTTTACCCAACTAGAAGTTACTATAAAATATGGAAAGATTATAAAGTGAACTAAGTGCAAATATGAAGTTTTTTGAAAATTTTGATGTTGATTCATTTATATCATAAAGGCTAAAAATTTTTTAATTAATAATATTAAATATTTACCTTTACATAAAATAAGCTTGGTAGCTGTTAATTTAATTTTAGTAATAATAATGCATAAATTTATTTCTAATTATCAGTTATTCAGTTGTAGTTCTTTATTATGTGTTAATATTGTGTTCTGCATGTCTCTTTACATACTGAGTGCCATCCATAAATCAAGTATAATTTTTACCGAAAGTTAAATTTTTATCTCGAGTGTTGCTGAGATAACCTCAAGATGTGACTGGGTTGGAAAAAATTCCAACTTTTACATATCATTTATTTATTTTTTTAAATGTATGAAATTGATTTCTTTCTATCTGATAAGGAATCAAAATGCACTGGTGTCCATATTATTGAAATGATACAGTTCTGTTGAAATATTCTTATGTTCACTTGATGAAGTAAAACAATATAAGACATTTTTATCATAATGTAGTTATTGGTAATTTTGTTTTAAATATATGCTCAGTGAACTTAAAAAATGAGGTTTTATTATTTTTAATATAATTGTAAATACATAAGAAAATTATTTATTCTTGATGAATAAACTGCCACCTCTATACTGGACAAAAACTGACACACTATTCACATATGATTTGATACAGCTCTCAAACTGTGAAATGCACCTAACTATATGATTCCATGGGCACTGTAAATTTCATTAATGAATTACCTGGATTTTCCTTCGTCAAAATATCTTGCATCGCACTGTGCTTGAAAATATACCTTTTGTATTTCTATGCTGAGTATTATATTGATATATGTAGAATAGAAGGTAGTTAAAGCAGTCCCATTCCTCGCAAGTATGCAGCAACTGCCCTCGCAAGTATGTAAGTGGCAAAATTTTGGGATGCCATATTGGGTCAGCATCCTGTATCAATTTTTGTCCAAAGTCCAAAATAAATTATTGAATTATATAGGAGTTCACAAAAATTGTGTGTGCAGGCACATGCCCCCTCCCTCTAGGAACATGCCTGCTTTAAGGCAATAATATGTCTCAAATCCCATTAGTTCAAAATCTATGGAAATAAGATGTATAACGTTTTCAGTATCCTTAATTTATCTGTACATATTTTAGTAAGATTAGTCATGTAAAAGTTCTGTAATACTTATTTTAAAATGCAAAACGGAAATGTATTGTAAAAATTTATATCTGGCATGGGGTACTGAATTTCCAGTGCTGTATTATGGATTTCAGTCTCATTTTTGTTTGATGCTACACTTCCTAAACGTGAAGTGTAAGATTTCTAGTTCTTTATGGTATAATATAATTGGAAACTATTTTGTTGTAAAGCAGATAAATCTGAATTTCTTTGAAAATGAATAATGTAATTATAAACTGAGTAAGTGTAACTTTTATTATTGCACTTAATAGTTATTCATTATCCTTTGTTTAATTTCAAAGTAGACAGTGACAGAGGCGTGGCTAGAGTTTTCAGCACCCGGAGACAACTGAAGATTTTGCTCTCCTTTCTGTGTGTCAAGAATGGAAAACACTTCTTTCTAAAATTTCGTACCATCAATTTGGTGTCCCACCTTGCCCCACCCTAGCTACGCCACTAGGCAGTGGTAAAATTCTTTAGTTTTCTGAGCAATGTTCAGTGCTGTAGAGAGAATCTCTGGGTCCTAGTAATGATTGTGATGTGAACTCTGATAGTGATTGTGAGACAGGTTCTTAAGTATGATAGAAGAAAATTTTTTTAAAACTTTTAATTTAATTAATATGTACTTTATTAGAAATTAATGCACATCTGCTTAAAATTTTTTAAAATGCTGTATCAACAAACAAAAAATATATAAAGTTTTATGGCATAGGTCCTCCTAACTGGGTACATTTCACTATAAAATGCAACTTCTATAATGCACAAAATTAATACATAATTAAATGGTGCACTGTAAATTTCTTATTAGCTCAGTTTTGAGTACTTTAATCTGCAAAAGCAATACATACACACATATATACAAATGCGTTTTTTAATGTAGCTATATTTTTTCTAAAAGGAAGTGAAACTTTGTTAAGAAAATTAAAAATGGTATAAAAAGTATTCTTTCATTCCCCCTTTCATAATGAATTTGGTCTAAATTATTATATAATAAAAATTACGAATATTTTATGGCTGCATACTGTATAAAATTTAGTTATATTTACTTTGCAGTGCTAATTCTTTTTTTAATAAACGAATTTGCAGAAAAATTTGTATTCAAGTTATCAAATTCTGTAAGTGATAAAATAACTAGAAGGGAGAGAAAAAGAATTCTGTTTGTAATAAAGTTTTTAGTAATTTATTCCATACCTGAACGAACATGCGATGAAACAACATTTTTCGGTTACCACCTGCCTCTTTTATGGATGATTGGTGTTTATTCAGTGCCCGCTACTACTTTTGTGTTCGAATGACGCAATCAGATCAACGCTTTACGTCACGTAGGATCTGCTTGTCTTTGAAGTTTGGGGCAATATTTGTGTAATTTGCAGGATATGTTATAAACCAAAATGCTTTTCTCTAGCATTGAAAAAAAGAAGAAAAAGAAATATTTACTGTGATTCAACTAATTTTTTAACACTTTCCTTTTTTTTTTTTTTTGTTTAAAAAGTGTATTTATATAGAGCACAAAAAGCTTCCTTTCCTTCTATATTACAGGTTTGTGTAATGAGCGTTAATATTTAAATATTTTAGAACATATTTCATTTTTCAAGTGGAAGAGGTTAGAGATTTGAGTTGCACATTACCAGTTTTCGGGCGAAATGTATGCAAATTAGAAATTTAGATTTATACCAAAAAGAATGTGTTGAGAACAAAATATTAAATAACCATTAATAGAAATATTTAAGATGCTTTTGAGAAAGAAATTATGCGGAAAAAATGGCGCCAATACTTTTAGTTTAAATCTCCAAATTGTACATGTGGTTTTAATCGCTGTGAATTAAACTACTTATTTATCTAATTCTGGCTTTATTTTATTACAAGAATGAGTACTAGTCTCACTGTGTTAGCAAACGATTGCAATATTTAAAATCAAATTATTAGAATGTTTCCAGGAGTGCTACTGCCTCATTTACATTTATCTACGATGTTGTATTGTGTAACTGTTTTATTTTGTATGTATGTTATTTAATATGTTGTGTGTTTTGTTTTATTTATGATTAGTATTTCAAATGTTGCCTATTTCGAAATGTGTATCAAGTAGAATTAATCAAATTATACCGCTATGTTATTCATGATTAGAATTACTAATACTGCAAATTTTCGAAATATAGTTGAATAGTTTGTGCGTTTTGCTTTTAAAACTCTTCATAAAAAGTGCCATCGTTAAATAATATTACTCAAAATAGGGTTTTCATAGTCATTCATAGCTTGGATCAGTATAAATGCGTTTATTTATTTAAATTATTTGTGATACTCGTATGCAGTTTTGCCAGGGTTGACTGCTTATGTTCACAGAAATTTTATTGACTAGGTAATAGACCCGAATTTATTTTGTCAGTTTTTTTTTTTTTTTTTTTTTTTTTAAATTATCATATGCAATACCCGCATCTCCAATGAACTTTTCAACGTCGTCAATTGTATCATCTGAATCGTGGAACTACGTCATTCCCAGTTCCCATGCGGAAATATTATTTCCGGTAAAGAAAGGCCTTGGTTGTCCGTGTTCTTCGAAATGGCGCTGTAAATAATTTGCCAGCATCAGTCTCGACGTTTATTTTCCATCAAGCTTTTTATTAAGCCATTTTAATAAGTCTTTTATTGCTTGTTTGTGTTTTTATAACGCTGCCTCTGTTCTCAATAAAAACAAGCACCTTATTGTCACTCGTAATTTTCTTGAGCATCTGGTTTGTTTCTAATCGAAAAACATGCTATGTCATGGTTTTAAAAATGGTGTGATTGATGAAATAAGTCTCCTGGCGGCAATCCTTTTGCTGTAGTGCAATATTTATTTATTACTTTGCGTTTATTGATGGTTCTGCAGAAAGAAATTTTAAAAAATTAAAAGTCTGTCTCCAAAAATGCTTCGATATAGCAGCATACATTCTATGGAAGTGTCATTTTCATTTAGTAATTTTGGGTGATACAAAATTAAAGTGATTAAAAAGTTTTGAATTTAGACTAAAGTGCAGAATCGCCACTTATTTGATTGGCGTTTGTTTGGCGCTCTTTACAAGAGTAGGTACAATTGGATTTTTGTCAATTTTCTTTGACTTTTTAAATGAAAATAGGTCAATGGTACATGGATAAAGTCAAGGGAGTGTGCAATGCCATTTTTGTGCAATTCTGAGATGTTTTTTTTAAGTGAAAATAGGTCGATGTGCACATGGATACCGAGTATGTGCAATTCTTAAAAACGCGCCAAGCAGTGGGCGATTCTGCACTTTACCCTGAATTTTAAAGCATAGAAATTTTTCCTTCCTAATTCAACTGATGGCATTTATTTGCGTGATATTTGTGAATAATAAGTTTCGGCTTTTGAAAAATCATCTTATAATTATTTTAGTGCGTTTGTGTAATAATGTAATTAAAGTTTTAATCATATAAGGTTACATTTCATATATTACTTATGAGACAGAAAGCTAGCTAACAGAAGTTGTTAGTGTGCGATTAAAATTTTTAATATCTGCTGAAATGTAGATTATAATGCTTTTTTAATGGCTGACAAAATATTCAATTTTAGGTTTAATTTAATTATTTTTATGAAAAGTTAATTTGAATGCACTAAGTGTTATGATATGAAACAAATCCTCCATATCCGATACTGAATTAGTACCACCCTACAAGATAAAGGGCTAACATTAGATATGAAAGCTGTAAATGAGAAAAAGAACTTTTTTTTGCCAAGAAACAGTGTTATTATACGGTTTTTTAGACTATTGTTTTGAATGTGTAAATCTAAACCAAAATTCTGAAAATAATTTGTGTACTGTGCGTGACTTCAGCTTTCACATGGGAATCAGAGTAAAAAAACAACTGATCTTTAAAAAATAAATGAATTTTTATTCTAAAATTTTTTACACAGTATTGACTTCTGGTATAAATACGCCTTTCTTATGTCTGTGCTATTTCAAAATATTCATTTATTTTAGTTTACTCTCAGAGTATATTTATTGAAATTATATTGTATACATTCTGATTTTGTGATAGACATTGACAATGATTTTTATCCTTACATATCCTGTGTTATATTTATTTGTTGAGAAATTTTGATTTAGGCAAATTGTTAAACATTCTCAACTTACTTTATTCCTATATAATGTATGCACTGTTAAAATTGTTCTTACTATTACCATTCATGTTCTTTATAATATCTCATAATATGATCTGTAAAATCTTACCAAAATTTTTTTCAATACTTGCAAAACAAAGACTTTTCTAAATTTTTATAGCATAGTATACATTTCTAGTTTTCTAATCATAAATATTATATGCAAGTAAAAACAGACCTATTTGAAGATCATTTGTCATACTCTTTGATGTTTCTCAAAAATGCAATTCTGTAATAATTAGTTTTGATTTATTGTCAACTGGTGTTATTAGTAACATCTGTTTCATCCCATTTTCATATTCCAGTTATTGGCAACATTGTTCATAACACACTGTATTTCTTTACTAAGTAAGGCTAAGTAGAGTTTACAAAAGCTCAGTCTTGCTGTGATATGAATGTTGCCTTATTTTTGTATTAAGGACATTTCTTATAAAAAAGAAATGCTCTCTTTTGTTTTTCAGTGGGGAACAATTTTTATAAAATTTGTATTTTGAACTGTGTATTATTTTTGTCATTGTTGTAACTGAATAAGTGAATAAAGCGAATTTTATATGTAATTTGTTTTGACTTTAATAGGATCTGCTAAAATGCCTCTCATAACATTCATAACTTGTTGTTGACGTTAATGATTATTTAAAAAAATGTGAAATTAGCTGAAGTTGTGAAATGCAGATATCTTACTTATAGTGTTCATTAGAGAAATTTTGCTCAACCTTCCTATATGCAAAAAACTTTCCAAGTACGTTGGAGCACTTAATTAACCCTAATTATGTCCACTGATAAATGAAGCTAGAAAATCTTGTATGGATGAATGCAACAGCATAATGCAGTAGGAAATTGGTGCATTAATCATTCCAGCAAATGGGTCAACTACTTTATATGACAGAGGGTATATGCCAAAGAATTATCTTAAAAGATTTTTGCTATGAAAAACTTTTTTTATAATTTAAAGAAAGGAGAAGAGTTTAAAGAACGTCAAATAAATTGCAACTTTTTTTGCATTAATCTTTTATTTAGCTTTATATGAAACCAATCTACTTCAAACTAAATTCTGCTTTGACATAGACTGTTAGGTGACGTCACTTCTGGCCGCCGTGTATTGTAGTAAAAGCAACTGCGAATTCAGATGAAACTTTAAAATAAACATTTTATTATAGCTTGAAACTACACAGCTGCATCATTACAACACACGCCATCGGTACTTGCGGAACTAAGTTCACATAAAATTAAATATGGAAATTCACAAGTTATAAGCTTTGGCTGAGCCTTTCTAATCAAACGAACAAAACATGGCTAGAATAGGAGTCGAAGAAAGGTCAGCAGTCGATGCTGAAAGCTCTTTTTTAATTTCAAAACCTTTATCGGGTCAAAGGATCACAAACAACTGGTCGTCTTGCATACAGACTTGTGTTGTACAAGCGTCTGCGCACTGTAGTAGCTGAGATTCTTGTTCCTGTTGCCACTAAATGATCTGCCATGAGCTGAGCTACAGGGATGTTACTCCTCCTTCGGGCCGAAAAAGCTAAATAATGGTCTCCCGCTCATGTAACTCTAGGTCTGCCTGGAACATGTCTTCTAGACACGGAATCCTCGGATTCAAACTCATTCCATAGCCGGTGGATAACACTACGAGAGACATTGAGACGTCTAGCAGAATCAGCTTGTGACATCCAAATTTCCATCATCCGATCGCCAGCCACCTCAATGAATCGGGCAAACGACTTTTCCTGGACTTTGATAGACTGTCCTGATTATTGTCCACAAAATTGTAATAACAACTGAAAGTCAACACTCATGAACAAAAATTACATTTCCCCCCCCCAACTCCTATGTAAGTATTCATTTCTATAAAATAAAAGTAGTACCTATTGTTTTTGCATATATTTTCTTAAACTTCGTTACTGTCATGCATATGAACTGTGAATTTAAACGTTACTGACATTTTTGTAATAGTGAGCTTTTAAAAACATGCTATTCCTTAACTTTTGGAAGGCAGTGTGTATACCAAGAGGATGTCTATGACCTAATAGTAAACAAAGTCCAAAAGAAAGTGAAAAAAATTGCCACTGAAATAATTGTTTAGAATTGAATGTTTCTTTCCATTTTAAACCTGTTTCACCACTTTTAAAATGATGTAAATGTGGACTTCTTGGTTTTGAAATATTTAGTTCCATCTCTTAGTGACATGAACCCTGTAATATACACTAACTCACTTGCATCCTGTTGAGAGCTGAGGAAAGTAGAAAAGATTAAAGTAATGGGTTAATAAGCATAAAAACTTAAGCTTTCCCGCTTGAATTTTTTAAATCAAAAGCTGGAGTTTGATTATTTGATTATTCTAAGTGTAATACTTAACAAAAGATAGAGATGAAACTATAAATTTGCGATGTGCCAATTTTGGCCTTTTCTCTTTGATTGCTTCTTCCTCTTTCATAAATTGGCAGTAAACATCTGAGCTGATTATTTGGTTGTTTGAAACCAGTTCAAAATAAAATACAAACACCTTTGTAATCCCACCAAACTGACAGCAAGATCTTTTCTCGATGCAATTTAGCTTTTGATATGATTTGTGCTGATTCATCAGGCTTGGACTATGATCTTTTTCGATTAATGTTATTGTAGACGATCCGCGTTTCATCACCCAGTGGCGTAGCTAGGATTCCAGCGCCCGGCGACAACTGAAGAATTTGCGCCCCTTTCTGTGTGCCAAGAATAGAAAACATTTCATTAAAAATTTCGTAGCATCAATTTGGCGCCCCCTGGATGCTGCGCCCGGGAACAAGTGTCCCCCCTTGCCCCACCCTAGCTACGCCACTGTCATCACCAGTAATAATTCGTTTCAAAAAGCGTCGAATGCATTACGTTTGAAATGCATACCTCAAAGACTGATTAGTAGTATTAAGTGAATTTCTTTCACTTAATACTACTAATCAGTCTTAATACTACTAATCAGTCTTTAATCAGTCTTAATACTTCCTTTCACTTAATACTACTAATCTCGATATTTGGGTTCGAACCCAAATATCGAGCTTCTTAAACGAGTCCAAGACATCTTACTTGATTTTCATCTATTGTATATGATACATTTAACTTTTCTACAATCGCTTGCACAGTTATATGACGATTGGTTTCAATGGTCATATAACTGTGCAAGCGATAATTTAATTTTGTCATTATTAACACCAGAAGGTTGGCCAACTTCAAATGAGAATCTCCAGAACGAAAATTTTTAAACCAATTCTGACACATGCGTTCTGTTAAGCAATCAACACCATAAACTTTACATATCTGTTTGTGAGTCTCAGTCACTTTCTTGCCATTATGAAAATGAAAAAGTAAAATATGCCGAAAGTGTTAATTTTTGGACGCCAGGCTAAAACAGACTGTAAACTAAGAGTTGTAAACAAAAATACGCGGAATACGTTTTATTTTTTTTCATGGAAAAAATTGATGGTTATTTAGACTCTAGAACTGACTGTTGAAAGCTTGAATTAAAATTTTAGAATGTTGACTACATTACTAACAAAAACTATAAATATTGATTAAAATTAAGAGGTAAATAATTTCAATGACTAACCAAAAATAATAATAATAAATAAAACAAAGGAGTCAAACAAATCTATGATTAGAGGGGGAAAAATGTTAAATTAAAACCCTCTTCTCAGAATCTAATGAACACTTACTCCAACATGGATGATTTTTGTTGGAAACATATTTTAACTATTTGAAAGAACATTCGTGAAATTGAGGCTTATTATATATCACATTATATAGTACCTAAAAATCAAAAATATGCGTGAGAAGATTCTCCCACTTTTTGCGAAAATATGCTAACTTAAATTAATTCTATTTATATTTTAGTAATTATTATTTCTCTATACAATGAATAAGTTCAGCGTTCAGCCCAGATGAAACAGCACACTTCAAAAGGATAATCTTCGAGTTTGTGTGTGTGATTATGGCAAAGCCACGAGGGCTATCTGCCTAAGGGGAGGCCTTCGTGGAGGACTTTCTAAGGGAAACTGGCTCGTATATACGTTACACATGGGGAAAACCACGAAAGCGTACATGCAGCCAGCCCCGTTCGCGGGATTCGAACCTCGGACCGAACTACCAGTGTTCAGCGACTTTACCGTTCGGCCGCTGGTGGGCCTGATCTTTAGGTTAGCAAGCGCTTCTGCAGAGTTTCAACTCCTAATGTCACATGTCCTACCTAGGCTCCCTACTGAATACCTACCTCCCTACTAAGGCATTGTGATATTTATATGACATTCTTATTTTTGCAAAATCTTGGGCAGAGATGATCTTGAAATAAAAAGAGGTATTGGAATGCCTAAGAAAGGCAAGTTTAATCTTTAAATTATCTATATGCGAATCTTGGAGAAAAGAAGTAGATTATCTTGGCTTTCTTATAAACGGAGAAGATATCAAGGAAAATGAAAGCCAAAACAAAATTTTTAAAACCAAAGAATGTACACAAAGTACGAAGATTCTTGGGTGTAAATGCATTGTACGGATGATTTGTGCCGAAAATATACTGTAGAAAGCGAACCACTGACCAGATTGACATAAAAGAATCAAGATTTTGAATGGAAGCAAGAACAAAAGAAGTGAGTTGTTTCTTTAATGGTTTCTTTTGAACTATTAAAGAAACAACTCACTGATAAGCCTGTATTTATCAACCGCATGCAGATACTGAAATCCATTGCGATGCAAGCGCTGAAGGTTTGAGTGAAATGCTAATGCAGTGTGATGAAGATCATCTGGTATCTTTTTTACTGTGTTAAAAGTAAGAAAACAACAGAAGCAGAGAAAATTCTAGCAAATTGGAGTTCATGGCTATTGTATGGACCTCGGACAGACTAAGACGATAGTTTTAGGAGCGAAAGAGATGTCGTACATTAATATTTAAACAAGGAAAAATCATTGTGATGAGATGTGCTTCTAAAGGCGCAGGTCAACCTCCTAAAACACAGCTGAAATATCGAAACCATTTTATAATAACGGAAGCATTACAGAGTGATACTTATATAACAACACAACTAGAAGCCGAAGGACCGATGTCGTTGTTTCACCACCACAGCTCATGTGAGTCAATTAAAACCGTGGAAGTGCGAGCCCAGGTATGATGATCAAGACACAGACCAGTTATAATACTAATGATGGTAAATTTTCCATCGATTAAGGTAAATACTTTCCTTTCTTTTTTTTTTTTTTTTTTTATGTCTATACGCATATGATTGCTGTTAAGGCCTCAAAATAATTTGGACATTTAAGAACATCTTGAACATTAGGCTGAAAGACTTATTTTACATTGAAATAACTTGTGATTATTTTAGTACTTACCATTTTAGGCCCGATAATGAATCAGTTTTGTTTTAAATTTATTATGTACTTAGTAATAATTTAGAGAGAATTTGTAACATTTAACTATCCGAGTACATTTAAACAATTTATGTGAATTTAAGTGTGGTTATTATCATATCAATTTTTTTAGCATAATGTGCATATTTAATGTATCAGTAATGTGTATTCTGCATTATAAGATTAATGTAAA